AATGAAATAAAACATGTTGATCTCAGTTAAGGTTTTCTTGAAAACTAGGAGGCATTGAAAAGCATTGTCCTAGCGTTAGGTACTTTATTAGTGTGCTCCTACGACCTCACCAGGGATTGAACACAGGATCTTCAGGTCTCTCGGAGAATGCTTAACCATTAGAGATACTAAGTCTGTACCCAATGGTTCAATTGCATATGTAATCAATTCGTTAGCTAGTGTAATGAGCATCGCATACTATTAATGACAACTGTTTCATTTCTCAATGCAACCATAATCAACAGATAGCAAAATGAATGATTTCACATTAGGCCTTGTTGATGCTGATGCTGATGACTATGACTTCAATATATCATCAACACATCCATTATCCAATGAATGTGTTATCATTCTCATGCGAATTTTTTAAATCAGTCTCCTTATTTTATGAATCAACTTGATTCAACTGAATAAATTATATATGATATGTATCATAGCTGTCAGTTCAAATTACTATAGATAGTAGTTTACTTTTCATTGATAAACTAGGTTCTCTTAATTACCGATCTTCGTTCTCTCTCATCACATGATCATCTGATGATTCTTTCTGTAATTAATAATTCAACAGTTGATTCAGTGTTTTCTGCTCTGAATGTTTAATGATTTTTTTTAAAAAAGCTTGTCCTTCTACTACTACTGGACGGCTTATTTTCACGTTGTTATTATTAGCAGTATTATTATTATTAGTACTAGTACTATTGGGCGTGTATACCTTGTAATAAACAGGCCTGTTGCTATGGTGCTTTTTTAGTGATCCAAACCTAGAGAAAGTCAATATCTATTGTAGTATATATATAAACTTGTAACATAGAGGATTTAAATGTATATAGACCTATTATTCAATCATTGGAATAGTATTGGACAGAGTCAAGTTTTATTGCATGTTATGATCATCGTCTATGTAAAGTCTAGTTACTCATTCATTCGTTTATTCACTCACTCACTAGAAGTAGTAAATAAACACAAATGCTACTAAATAATCATGTTCAACATATTTTACGATGAGCCACACCTTATTATTATTATTATTATTATTATTATTATTATTATTGTGTTGTATGCTGACAAACTATGTATGGTAAATTGTTAAAAGTCATACATTCATTGTAAGCGGTATTGAATAGCGATTTCTGAACTAATGAATAATGATAATGATTATAATGGTTAGAAAATATTTGTTAGGAGAAATATGATTCTAGGAGAAAGTAGAAGATTGTAAGACAAAAACGTTTTTAGATAATTAAGAATCTAAGGACAGACTAAGAATGAAGTCATCTACACTATTGTGACCAAATCTATTGTAGTGCCGCGATTCGTTAATCGTTTACTTCAATAACCGTTATGATTCTAATCTTAACGGTGCGTAAAATCAGAAGACAAAGGATAGCAGCAACTACAGTTTATTGTCGAATAACTCAGGTCAGAAAGTTAACAACACCTGAGCGAATATCAACGAGCGAGTGAGCGGCAAGCGAGAGAGCGAGTGAACAGGCGAACAGGCGAAGGAAGCGAACGAGGAGCAAGCGAGCAAATAGCAAGCAACTACATAGGCAATTTATAGTCAGATTTGATAAGGGCACAGCAAACCAAAACAAAGGCTGATAATAATATTTGCGTATATATTTGCGTACATATATGGGGAGGAGTATGAGTCATCGAATGATATTTAAGCAGTCAACATTTCGGATAGAGTGTCATGTGCTCTAGTGGTATAGCAGTGCAAAGAATATGCAAATTGTTACTATCCAAATAACGATGTCTGTTAAGTAAGTTATAAAAATGGCTTAACTAAAATTGGCTATAATCGAAATTGATTGTAGGATGGTTGCTATACTATCATTCATTGTCTCTAACCATTGATTACGACAATCATACGGTCACCAGCCAACCAGTCTGTACTCACATGGCTTAATCTAAAAGTTAGCGACTTTGTGAACTGATGCCGTGTTTTGGTTTGACTATTCCTAGTTCTCTTCCAACCTGTTCGTCACATCAACTATCATCACGCTTCGAGGCAAGCAGTTGTTGGGTATGCGTAATATCATACTCCAAGCACTTCAATCGATAAAAACTTACTAGCTCATTCATCAGTTCGCAATCCTTATTCGCTCATCAAGCATAGTGTTATAAGAATGCAATACTGTTAATATATATATGTGTTAGCCGACTAATTACTACTGTTATTGGCATTACTACTTGACCATAAAATTACCATGCTTCTACCACTTTCACTGTACCAAATGTTATCTCGAAACGGACTTGTTTTTAAAATTCATAACTACTTACTGATTAAAATTTTGCAAATGATCGGTTAATCTTTTTCCATACTACTACTTTTTAAATTTTTCTGAGTTCATTCCTATTCGATTTGTCCATTGAATTTCGTATTGTTATTTATTATGGGATTAAAATCCATAGGAGAACTTGGAAGCTCATGTAGTTATAATGTTAGAGATAGTTGCAAATCAACTGATCACTTATCGCATAATTCTATTATTTACATCATAGATTAACATTAGTTAAACATCCATTGAAAACCAGGAAGCATTGGAAAACAGTTTTGGTCTGGTGTGTGACTCCTCAGCAGTGCACATCCTCTAACATATCAAGAATGGAACTTAGGATATTCAGGTCTCGTGGTGAATACATACTTGGACGAAAAGTTATCCAATGCTTTTTAGTTTTCATGGTCTGTCGAAATAAGGCGAGTCTGTGATGCAAGCCTTAAAACTCAATAATTTAAATCTCACCATTGATATTAAGGACTAGATTTGATCAATCTATATTTGGCATTTGCGTATACTGAGTCGACTACCTCGATATTGTCATTAAGTCACTTGTTCTAAGTAAAGCTGATTGGTGACTATCAGTAGAATCCAGGCGGCGTGTTAGACTCCATTTGAAACTTGTCAGTTCCATGTACCTTCACCTCAGTATTGATTTCATACTGGGACTCGAAACCAGTACTTTTAGCGTCAAATGCCCAACACGCTACTTACTAAGCTATTATGTGCAGATAGCTTGGAAAACGAGGATAAGTTTAAGTTTTTGTAACTATTCGGGTTTTCTCGTTTTCGATTTTAAGAACTGCAATTAGTCAACCCACCAGGTCCTAGTCTCTGTGTGAACATCAGTATTGCAATGAAGGTACATCCAGTTAACTAGTATTAAATAGGATGTGACGCGCTTCCTGGTTTCTGCTGATAGCTTCAACTTAGCTTTACTTAAAAATCTTCACAATCCCTTCATGTTAATCATGTTATTTATTGTCAGTTTTGTAATAATTTATCAGATAAAAATTCGACTTACATTGTTAACAGATTACTTATTTCGAATTCTTGCTCTAATAATCAATCTGAATCGGAAATGATAAAATAATGCTAGAATATAATAATGAAATGTGTTGTAAGTTTTTTTCTAACACGTAATCATAAATAATTATGAAATGTTGAGAGCCTCATCTTCTAATGAATAGTTATTTTTTTAAAAAGTATACTTAAGTCAGTTGTTCACGACAATTTAAATAATGATAGTTCTTCTGGATATAAACCACTTGACAATTCTCCCTAATTGGTCACTGAGTAATAAATAAGTGAATGTTTGTTTATTCCTGTAGTGCTAATCCAGGTGCAGTATAGCCACTAGTTTAAGTGACTCGATATCACATCACTACTGAAGGTTTACACAAATATCGCGTTTATTCATTACTCAGTTATCAGTTAATCTAAATATCTCAATCCTGCAGATAGTTAGTAGCTGGTTGGACAAATCAGCCGTTATGTCTTGGACTGTGAAGTTAATGATCCAGGTTCAAATTTCACAGAGACTACCAGTTACTTCGAGATAACCTATGACACAACTAAGACATAATCTATTATATGCTTTGTTTCTTTAACGGTATGTTCTCATTTCGAAAAGGATATATAACTAATTGTATTTAGATTTAACATTGAATAATTGTTAATTTTCAAATATATTTACAATGTATATTAATAAAAAAACACTTCCAAAGATTCAGACTGACGAAAAACATGAAGGACAGAATATTGAATGAAATTATAATGTAAACTATTCAATTTTTTTTAGGCAAAATGTCCTTTGGATGCGTAATCTTATCACCTGATTCTTCAACCTTGATGCATTCAATCTAACATAATTGGTCACAAACCCACTGTACATTCCTTTACACATATTTGATTAATAGATGATTGCTTCACTAAATTAAGAATAGTTTTCATCCTAAAGTCATCGGAATTGAGTAATTATACAATTTGAAACCATTGTTTGTGATGTATTCATTCTTTTCGATATTTAATATCGTTAGTCATGTCAAATATGTGTCATAAGGATATTTCAACTTCAAAAGTCAAAATTATGCTTTTATAGTGAGAGATTTTGTTCATATGAATGACCGATAAAATAGTTCATACTTTAAAAGATATACTTGAAACCTTTTGTGTTGGACTATCATTGGTACTAATTATAATTCGGAAACGATCACGAGTCGTGTAATGTAAAAATATCTTATTTATAGCAGTTTGTACATTATAGTGTGATGCATCAAAATTTGTATTGTATGTTACGTAAACTAGCGTAATTGATGACTATTAAAATGGGTTTGTTAGAATTAGATTTGATTTCTTTACATTGTCAGCTAGATTTTAATAAACTGAACGATCTTAGATATTGACGTATGTTAATTCAGATTTTTTTACTGTTTTGTTCCACCCGTTAAAACTTTCAGAAATTATTCCAACTTTTTTAACTATCAGTGTCCTTAGTATTATGCTTGTCTTGACATGAGGTAAACTCTAAAAAGTTACCAATGAGGCTTTTTCAGACTGCTTTTGAAAGGATATTTAGATAATTTAAATGAGAAACAGGAAATTAGTTTGAAAGATTCACTTTGATGTGTTAAATTCTTCTGAGTGATTTTTCTTTTTCATTTTTACCTATATTAGGTTAGTGATGATGAAGCTAGACGTCGTGCTAAACGACGTGAGCGTAATCGAGTCGCAGCGGCCAAATGTAGACAAAGAAGACAAGATCAAATCGAAGAGTTACAGCATCGTGTTGATGCATTGACTAGAACAGGACAAGAACTTCGTTCATCTCTACATTCATTAGATTTAGAACGAGCTAGACTAGAAAGTCTTGTGGAAGAGCACAAAGTGAGTTGAATTATCACTTTTAAATAATTATATTACTCTTTTTAAACAAAAACTCACAATGTTCAGTCACATTGAGAAAAGAAACACAGCTTGATAAATTACATTTACGTTTGTACACAATTTGTAGTTAAGATTCGCATCAAATATTTTATTTAGTCATGTATTTGAGCTATTGAATTGGAATCATTTTATACTTCATACTTCAATCCTACCTCATATATTTTTCTTCAACTTTATCCTACTGGTAGATCCCATCATCAGTTGACTAGGATATATTTTCATTGGCCTGAACGAATTATTTTTGTTGTATTAATATATTAAACATTTCTTATGAGATTACTTGTGACATAACATAAAAAAAAATTAGATTGCTGTTGTTCATGCACTTGATAATAAATCTTGAGTGGATCATTTGTGAAATCAATAGTAGGAATGAGTTTACAGTATCATTTAGTGTCTTATATACTCAGAATAGCTGGATATCTATTTTCACTCACTGAGGAGCTATGGCTCACGAGTAGTAGTTCGTTAGCAGTGTTTGTATGACGTTGGAATTACATAATCAACTTTAAATTGGCGATTGATATAAATTTTAGTCGAAACGTTTGTCTCTGCCTATATCCAACATTAAATGAAGTACGGCATTAGTTATTTCAGTTAGAGTTATTTCGGTTAGAATCAATAGGCAGCATTATTAACTCTCATGTTGTTATTTTTTGAGATATCCGAAGGCGATTCCGAGCTACGGATGATTGGGAGATTCCTGTAGTAAGCAAAAAAGTCAACGCGAAGTAGATGAACCAGACTACCAAATTAGTCAACACTTCAAGGATAATCCTCCATGTGATACAAAAGAGGGTATTCAGGAACTCAGGAAAAGCTTGATATTTAAAGAATTCGTAGTTGTAATAAAACAGCTCTGTTTATGTAACATGACCAATCAAATAATAACAGAGATCAGTACTAAAAATACGAATCGGGAAAAATTACTTGAGGCTCAATTGTTTAATAACTTGCTACATCTGTGTCGAAGCCAACTTGACAAGTGTAGGCGAAGTTGTGAAGTCGACAGCTTTCCAATCATCATCAGTTAATGTGTGGCTCTATAAAATTTAATTAACTTCATTTTTAGTCACCTTGTTTCTATACTGTCGATGCAAAAAAAACCTTGTTACTAGATTGCTATTTCGTTGATAACATCATATCACATTCATTATTTTTGTTTACTTATCAGAAAGTGAAATGACGACTAATTAGAAGTCCTTATCAATTAAATTAACTATTTTCTGAATTCAGTTCAGTCAATTAGTTATTTATCTAATGAAGTTGAATTTTGCAAAGTTTAGTTATGTCCATTGCACAACTGGATCAATACAATAAAGATGAAAGGTTATTTATAGAAATGTAACAACCAGATATTCATCTCTTCCAGCTGATGTGATGATGATAAGCTGTATAATGTTTTCACCACCAGTGACTATAATACAGGTCACATTGTCAGTTATTTGTTTGCTTTATTTTCTTGGACATGATAGAATTGTTTTACTCAGTGTTAACACGAAATAATCTGAGTTGATAAATATTGTCTTATTGAAATAAGATCACCTTCTTTTCTTCTTTTTTCAATAGTTAATATGAAAGATTTAAGATAAATACAGTGAACTAAACAAATAGAATAGAACTATATGCATAATAGTAAATTAACTCATTTAAAATTTGTCAGAATTATTCCACAGTGAAAAAAATATCTAGACAACAGAGACGGAATAAAGCTAACAGATAAAAATAAAGCAGCTACTCAAACGAATAAACTTTTAAACATAGTTTATATACCAAGTGAAGATTTATGTACTCGAGGCTTTTGATCTAATCGACTTACAGTGATAATTCTCCACTGCCTAAATGAAAATGGATAGATTTATGTTCATATTGACCCCCCTTTTGACTGAAAACCGAATGTGCTTTATTCGATTAAATTATATAGGGTATGAGTATCAATTACCGTCAAATTACTTGTGGAATAAATCTCAAACATTTTGAATATTAGTAGGGTTGTATCCTACCATATATTAAGTCGTGAAAACCACAGTTACCTTACACAAATTATTGTCATTAACTGGAGTCCCGGGAACCTCACTGAAACACCACTATTCTGGAATGATTGCTTGTAAAGCATAGAAATGAATAGAAACAAATCTCTTGTTAATGGACGAGGTTATTCTGTCCCGAAATAGTACATAAGCATCCCTATGGCCTACTGTATCTAAATATATATTGATACAAAGCGATGCATTTGATATCAGTATCTGTCTTTAACACAACTGTCCAACACTCCTAAATTTCCACTTGTTCTTACCTCATATCACATCATAACAGCAATGATATTAACTAAATAAATAAATAAATAGTAATGGTAATAAAGACTTTATAGAAAATAGTTAACTACAAGAAACTCACAAGAAAATTTAATAAATTTATTGTTTGTTAGTCTACTCATTGTGGAATCGGACAAGAACATTTCTATCCAATATTTCCCATCTAAAACATTAATGCTTCAACATCTACAATAACAAATCTCGAAATCAATGTCAACCATTCGCATCAACAGGAACAAACGTTATTTCCTAAATCATTTCGTTTTATATAACCTATGACTATTTAATTACCTTCTTTCTTATTGAGCTAATAAAATCGATTTTTGTGGTATATGTATGGTGGTATGATGTTTTGTTCAGTCAACTCAACTGTGTCACAATGTGGATTCTTGAAGAGATGACACATACTAGATGACTGCAACATATCTCGAATAAGTTAGTGAGTCATCAGCAGTCAAGTAGGTAGGTAGTTAGGTGGTGGTGGTAACTACCAACCAACCACCTGACTTCAGTGCACTACTATCAAAACTAAAAATAGTTGGTAAACAAGCAAGTCGAAACTAGTTTGTCAAAGTATTTATTGTTATTAGTATTATTACTAATATTACCATTATCATTACTATCATGTACAAGTGGAAGTACACAAAAGGTCAAACAAGCAGTAACCATCTTAAATATATTTTCACCACTTTGTTCATCATAACAACTAAACGAAAATTCATGTTCCTTGCTCTCGTAGACAGTGAAAATTAGTCACAAAACTATATTTCATACATTTGTCTGAGTGCTTTTCACTAACTACAACAGGGGAAACAACGATACATATGGTGTGTACACTGCACTTCACATCTTTATCACTGAAACTACCACTCACACTGTTCACATGCACATTATGTACAGATACTTGAAAGCATTTGGTCACAAACAGACATCGACACAGTATTCGTCGACCGAATGTAATGAAGCTGTCGATTGAGAAGTGAGATACGGTCATTGAGTTTGCTTGGTGGTAATCAACATCCATCATCGACTGAATCACTTCAAATGTGTGTTATATAAGTACTGTCCAATCCCGTTTTGTCCTGTCACTCCGTTTCTCGAAGTGACAATCAGCTGTTAAACTGTTAAGGACAGGGAAAGGAAGACTGTCAACCAGTCACTTCATATTATTACATTTTAATGTTCATCTCTGTTGTATGTAGGAAAGTGAACACTTCTGGTGAGATTATCTTTTAACCAATTATTCGACAGTTTAGACTGTGTCGTCATCATAGTAGAGTGCAAATATACCTAATATTTAAAGTTCTTTAAATCTTGGAAATGTCACTCTTTTATCCCGCGACCTAACACCCTTTGTTTACTCTCTTCAAATCTTCCGTCTTACACTTTCCTCCTGTTCTCCCTCCACTGTAGTCAACCATATTATTACTTTCTATATATCGGATTTTCTCTCACAGTGCTGATATGTTGAGTAACAAACGTTTCTGTTTGTGTTCCCATTCACGGAACACTACCTTACCTACCTGAACAGTGGTTTGTATACAGTTCTCAGTTTAGTTCAGTTCAGTTCAGTTGAGCATTGTGTTTCATCTTGTGTTTCGAGATCAATCACCACACTGTTAGTTCACATGAACTCCGTAACTCAACATTTAAAGTCACAAAACTGATGTATATGTCAGCATGTTATAGATGAGTGTTTGAATTTTATCGTCAGTTTGAAATAGAACTCGTCACTAGACCTCTTTTATTTAAAAATTAAGATTGATAGGATAGTTAGGCATGTGACGAACACGAGATGGTCATATCTGGTACCTCTAACAATAACTCGTCTCGAATGAATTGTACTTGAGAAGATGGTTATTATTATTATTACTATTGCATGATAAACTTTGATCATTTAAGTTTACGTAGACCACTTAACAGATGGAAATCTACAAATAGTGAATAATCACGTTATTCGCTTATTTAACTTTTGAGTGCATCTAATAAGTGGAGTATTCTTATCGTATTCTTATGTAAATTTATATGTGATGAAATGTCTTTAAAATTTTAGGATATGGTCAATGGGACTGATCATTACATTTTCTACTGCGGTTTCTTTCTACTTTCTGTGCATTATTATGATTGTAGCTGATTAACCATGTGTGAATTCGTTAATTCACTTAAGCTTCCATAAATTTTATTGTTTATATACACCCATTCACACTTTAAGTGTACGCATTTTTTACATGCCTGATACCGTGTTATATAATATAGTTGATATAACGCAACTGATATATTTGATGTTGAAACGCTTGTTATAATCGTTTGAATTAATCGAACATATTCATCACCTTATTTAACATCCTTTGAAAGTTATCGGTAACTAGTGATAGTTTTATGTGTAGTATGTTTTTATTAAACTGGATAATAGAGATAAACCTATGATGAACGATGTTGTTTGATCTTAACACATGATTATGCAGTAAAATTACATATTACTAAAGACTACTTTGAAATATTGGACTTTGATGACCTGTTAATTGATCATATTCTCACTTTTTAGTAGTCGCTAATTGAAATGTGTTTGGATTCGTATTGAAAATAGGTGAATCATTAAAACTTTTCATTGTTTTTTTTTATTTT